CAGCGCGCGGCTCGCAGGGACACGGCAGCGTTTTCAGCAATTCCCTTGCCCTGCTGTCGCTGTGACCCAGTAGTTCTCCCTCCAGTGACCGTGCCACCAGCTTTGTCCAAGAGCTTCCTGTTTGCTGCACTGCAAAGACACCCTACATTCAATTTCCAGCACACACGGGTATTCAAAATGCTTTCTGCCCAGATCTCTGCTCTCTGGCCATGAGATGTTAGCAGCTCTTCAGGCCGCTCAGAAAACATGTCACAAGTACTTAGGGGCTTTTTTCAAAAAAATGCAAGATAAGTCTTTGGGGGGAAAGGTCTCAAAAACTGAGTGCAGAATAAATTCACTTAGCCAGAGGACTGCTAGCAGCACAGCTCCTGAGTTATCACGTTCTCCCACTAGGCCACTATCTGCATGGAGAGGAACGTCGCTGCCTGCAGCGAGAAGCTGCAGTTACAGTTTGCAGCATATCAGCACACACCAGAGATTCACATGGGAAAACGGGGCCAGATGTGCCCACACGTACCCTGCCCTCTGCCCGCGCCAGCACCGCTGCTCTCCTGAGCTCTAAGCGACTCGCACAAAGCAGAGCAGGGGGTGACTGCAGTGGTTTGTGCCTCCTCTGTATGTGCAGGTTAGAGCTGATGAAGGGCAGTGCTGCCCTTGTTATACTGCAAAAAGGATGGAGCGAGCAGGCTGCAGCATGAACCACACACCTGGAACCACGGGCTCTGCCCCCAGGCTTATTCCAGAAGTGCTGTGTGACCTAGTTGGTTCAACCCACTGCTCTCTGGGACCTTCTCTGTCTCTGCCTTTAGCATGCACTGCGGCTTCTCTGTATATAAGATGCAGAACAGAAATAGTAAGATGCAATACAGGACTAGTAATCACTAGATACATTATTATCGAGTATTTGGGGATCATTTGCTGACATAGAAAGAGTACTAAATAAGCACTTCTAATAATATGTGTTCATCTAATACTGTGTGCGTAACATGGGTTCACACTCCTAATAGGTGTTCATGTTAGTATATATGTTTTTGCATATTCATCCGTGCATTCTAATGTGAATACACATGCATACATTTCTCACTCTTTCTCCAATTCGCTTGTTCTTAAAACCAGGTAAGGCTTAAATGACCTCTTCCAGTCTCTGCCTTTCATTGCCCATTGTGCTGTCCCTGAATAGGCTCCTTCTCTCGGTTCGGAGCAGCAGCTGTTGGGCTTTGAGTCTTTTATGTCTAGTTGTGGGAAAGTTTCTGTGACACCATTTCACATGTTTTCCCCAAAGCTTGTGGATTATCCCGAGCCCCTCTGAAACCAATCTATCGCTCTCTGCATCTCTCTTGGGGAGAGGCTCTGAAACAGAAACCCATGAGTAGTGAACTCCTCTCTTGAGCTCATTAATCAAGTGCATGAAGAAGGAACGTGCCAACCTCTCAATCAGCAGAGTCCACTAACAATTTTGCTAGGACAGTTTCTGTTTTCCATTTGGTGTACCAATAATCAGCTATAAGAAGAGCCATAATTTCTCTTTCCAGTGTGACTCACATGAACAAACACTCCAGATTAAGTCAAATAAAGCTGCTTAAAGTGTCTGGTGCCCTCCCTGCAACAGCCCATGCCACAGAGCAGCGAGCCTGCTTCTCAGGCACCCCGGCCTTGTAGTATTCCTGCATCTGGGACTTCTGTTTGTTTCCTTGACAAAACTGTGTGAGAAGTGATGTGTGTAAAGCATGGGCGACTGGGACTGTGCTTGAAGTCCGTGATGATTTTGGAGGAATTATCCAAATTAGGTACTTAAATGTTTCTGCTTCACTTGGAAATCCCAAATAAAAGCAATAATAAGAAATAACAAAAATGCATCCCTAGTATAAGGTTAGGAGAGGCAGTGGGGTTTACTTATGCCACAGAGAATTTGGAATAATTTAGTCATTTTCTACTATGATTCCAAGCATACTCAGTGTTGGATAGAATATATATTGGGATCCCAAGATCCAGGATCTTGATAACATGTCCAAAAACAAGGCATCGGCCATAACCTCCCTCCGGCATCTGCCAGATGTTAATGTTATGGAAAGCCTTAAAGAAGCTGATGCTTTCCCAAGTTGGGAGACATGGTCCTTGCTCCCATTGCTCCTCTCCTGGGAAGTGCTGCCCAGATGGCCTTTTGGGAGCAGGGTTTCCCACTGCACACAATGCGAAGGCAGGCACCGTTGCTAATGTGGTTTGTAGCCGGGCACACTTCCTTTGTGGCGAGAATGAATATGGTTAAGAAATGGTGTGGGAAACTCAGATGCACACCAACTTCCATAGCCTTATGTTAATAAGTCACTTACAATGCCAGAATGCTTGGAGTAAAGGCAGAGCAGAGGCGCGAAAGATAGCGCGATGCAGGAGACCCCATCAGCACAGAGTCCTCAAGGCCGCGCTGAGAGGAGAACCAAAATGGGCCCAATGCTGACATCTCTCACCCCTTGTTGAAGGCACTGAGCTGACATAAAGAGCAAAAAGGACTCCAAAGGGCTCCAAGCTGGCAGGAGAAAATTCAGGCTGTAACAACAGCCCATGGTTAAGCCACGACAACCAGCAAATGAGATTGATGTGCCAGGACACATTGGGTTGGACAAGCTTCCCCAGTCGCACGAGTTTGTATAAATGCACAAGCACTTGTCAAGGGCCCCTGTTTCTCGGAGATGTTTTAAAGTAGACCTGGAGAGCTCAAGATGCAAAGAGAGTATGTGGCCCAGAAAGCTCCTTTGCAGCCTTCTCTGGGGCAATTTTCTTTGGCCCTTGGTTGTTGAGAAAGATTCTACTCCTGCAGCTCATTTCTCTCTCATTTCTTCCTAGCTGTTCCTCATCCTCCTGCTTGGCAGTTCTTTGCTTGAGCCTCTCATAATTTTTATTTGTCTGCAGAGCTTCCTTCATTTTTTTTCCTTTCACCTGGCCTTTATTTTCCTCTTGCACTAGTTTTTATAATCTGATTTTTCGTTCTGTCACTCTTTCTCCTTCTGTCTGTCTGTCACAGGCAGATGTGGTCTGGGGACAGGAGTGTCCTACAGCCCATCAGCCTGTGTGAGTGTGGAGTTCCTCCGAGTTTCCCACACTGCTCTCCTATTCACTGCATTCAGGCAGGGGATAAAGGAAGTGTGCCATGCTACAAGCTGAATTAGAAATGGTGTTTGACTTCCCTTTGTACTTCATAGAAACCTTGCTCCGGGTAGACCATCTGCATAGCCCTAACTGTGGCAAAACCCATTGATCAAGACCTGTCAGCCCAGCTGGGGGAACTTGGGAAAGTAATTCCGTGTGCCACTTCACTTCTTTAGGGCTTAACATCTGGCTGCAGGGGGAGGGGACAGCTGATGGTTTAACAATCTTGCTTCCTTTCAAGTTGGGGATGCTGTTTTGATCCCTGTAAGCCTTTCTGAAATCCTGATTCTAATAATGTGGAAAGCATCCAGAGGACCAGGAATAATACACGGGCCTTGCATTTTCAAAGTACTTTACAAATACCAGCTAATGAATGCTCAGAGACCTCCTCTGTGAGATAAGGATATATTATTATCACTGCTTTACACAGGAAGAAGATGAGACAGAGAGAAGAGGGGGAAAAAAAACCCGTATTTCAAATAGCCTATTGGCTGCAGTGCTTCTATTTCCAGTTGGGCCTTTTGAAATGTCTGGTTTGCAAAGATTCTCATCTTCGGTTTTAATTAACTTTGTTGTCTCTGAAAAGGAGCTGGCTTGAGGGAGAGTTTGGAGTACCTGCCATGACACTTTCAGTCAGGCACATCTAGATAAGCAGATGCAAAAGCTTCTCCTTTGTACTCAAGTTCCACAGTGGTTTCTGAGCAGTATGTTCAAGCCTACAAAATGTCTGGAAAAGAAGACGTGCTCAAATGCTCAGTCAGGAAATACTGAACTGAATGATCTGTGCAGTAGAAATCAACTTGACCTCTCTGGAAAGAAGACTAAGCTTTGCTCTGTTAATTGGTGCTCCTGTAGACACATCAAAACGTCAGCATTAAGCTGCAGAGTCCTTGGTCCTCGCTCAGATCTGTTGGCTCCATCTCATTTCAGGCTGTTCTAAACCTGGCACCCCTCCGAGAAGCGGTGTCGCGTGCCCCGAAAGCCATGGACTCCCCATCAGAGCCTGCCCTGAGACCACGAGGCAACTTCTGGGCCTAAAGACCTGGCCTGGCTGGACCCAGTGACTTAGAAATGGGAAGATCTGTCCTGCTTCAGCTCCCAAATCCAGTGCTCTGTGCAGCGCAGTGCTGGGGGCAGCCAGGCCACAGCCCAAAGCTGCTCCTCCTCAGGCAGAGCTGGGCTGGTGGGGTCAGGATATTTCAAAGCACTTCTTTGGAATCTGTGACCCCACTGAGGTCCCCACTGCCTGGTGACTTCAGAGTCCCAAAGCTCTTCGGTGGCAAATGCAAGGCAAATGCTGGGGCTCAGCCCTGTTGCTTAGATGGGGAACTCCTGGATGAGTGAGAGCGCAGCGACCGTGGCACCGGTTGGCATCGGTGCAGAGCAGCGTTAGCTGCTCACGGAACATGCAGGAGTGGCCTTGCCTGCAGAGTCCTTGCAGAACACGCGCTCACGGGCTCCATATGTGCCCCGAGTTTACCCTGCTGCTGCCTACGTGTCTATTGGTGCCTACAGGAATGAAGGCCTCGGGGCTGCCCGGGCAGCCCTGTGGTGCAAACGGCTAAAAAGTGCCAGAGGAAAAGGGTATTTTCTGTGACTGTCTGATTCGGGGGTTGAAGGGGTACGGTGGTAAACACATGGACATGGTGGCTCTGGCAAACCCCTGCTCCCAGGGCAATGTGTTCCTTTGAGTCGTAATTGATTCCTGCCATCAGGCACCAGCCTGCTCTCTCCCAGGGTCAGCACTTTCCCACATCCAACCCCATTATCCCGCAGACCACGTCTTTTGTACAACACACTCCAGCCATTCATGTGCAAAGCAGCTGTAATCCTCAGACCTTTCAGAGTCAATATTCCAGGAAATAATAAATCCCTCTTGTGCACCCCGGAATATGCTGAGGGAATTTCAGCTAGGCAGAAAAAATAATCAATTCTGTTTATTTTTTAATTATTTATTTCTGATGCTTGCTGTTGGAAAACTGTGTCACTGGCACATGACTATTTCAGGATCACCTACACAAGCAGCTACAGAAATTACTTTTGCCACTAACAGCCCTGAAAAGAAGGATGTAGTGTCTCATGTGCCGCTTAATAACCAAACCCTGCTTCCCTTCCCATGGGCACACGGGAATGACAGTGTATGAAGGATTCTGGATCTAAAGGAAACATAATTAATACAAAGTTTTAAACTAAAACAAGACGTAAAAAATGTACTTTACAGTAATAAAATGTCTTTTTTTTGTTGTTTTTTGTTTTTGACAGGGCTGTGATGTGTAAAGAAGGTAAGCTAGTGCTATGCTAATGATAACTCATGGGATATTCCAGCACGACCGGCAGGGCACCCGGGAGCCACCCGAGCGCCGTCCCTCGCCCGGCACAAGGCAGCGGCTCCGGGAAGGAGCTTGCGGCTCCGCTGCCCCTTCCCAGGAGAAGCCGAGGCCCAGCAAGGCCGAGAGCAGCCGCAGGCCCTGGCCCCGGGCTCCGGAGCCCCCGGTCGCTGCCCCTGGCCCCGCAGTGCCCCTGCCCCTTGGTGAACGCGTTGCTGCCCGGGGCCGCGCGCTTCTCGCTCGCTGCGTGGAAAGGCAGCGGGTTCATGGCGCCCTGGCAGAAGCCCGGCTGCACAAAGGCGCTATTAGCAGCGCCGCTGTGGGTTTGAATTTCCCCGAGTTTCCCATACTTTTCCCCTATTGATAACTGCTCTTGTCGGGACAATAGACGTGTGCCTTGCAGCTACTCACAGCATTAGTGCCGGTGCTTGAGCCTGAATGAATTAAAGGGAGAGAATCCAACTCCCAAAAGACCATCTGGCTACCCTTATAATACAGCAATAAAGGTCAGGGCTACTTCTCAGGAGTTGGGAAAAAGATGCTCTCTGACACCGGAGAGTCTCTTTAACCAGCTTGGAGCATGTCTACCTGTCAGCTCCTCGCTTCAAGTCCTGCCACCATCACTCCCTTGCAAGCAGAGAGACTTGTCTGCTGGTTTTCCCATAACACAGGGAATAAAGGGCTCTGAAAACAACATCTGCCTTTAACAAAAAGCTAAGCCCATTCAGGCCCATATAATGAGAGCCATGAAGCTGGCTCTTTTGGTGACACCCCCTTCTTCCTGACAACTGCCCATTAAACTCAGGCTTCACTTCAGAATTTCAAAGGAAGGAAGAAATGGTTCCTGGCTTTCTTACCTCCCTGCACACTGGGCGCGGGGAGAAACCCAGGATGCGGCTGCTTGAGAAATGGCTTCAGGTGGCGGGAGCAGCACGTTCCCTGCTGAGATAGATTCTGCGGTGTCTTCAGGGTCTCCTCAAGGACTGAATCTGGGCAGTTATTTTTCCAGTCAGACAAAATGAAAACAGACCTGGAGTGCCCGCAAAGCAGCATTCATTTCCTTTCCTTTACCACAAAGGAAATAACTGATCTCCTTGCTGAGGTGTGAGCATGGGCCGCAGCTCATCAGGCCCCTTCCCAACCCTCCCCTGACCTTCCCAATGCCTGGGGCTGCTGAGGCCGACCTGGTGCAACTCCCCAGGCCACGTCAGCCCCACACTGAGAAGTTGAGAAGTTCTGTTTGAAAGAGAGAGGGCAGCAAACAGAAAAGAAAGACCCATGGGGTGGCTTGGCATGGGCCCAGCTCTTCTCAAAGGTGCCATGTCCTGAATGAAGGGGCAGCTCTGGTGTGACCAGCTCACGCAGCCCCGTGTGTGTAGTGTAAGCAGGAGAGAGGCCAGCTCAGGGTACAAATTCCACTTTCTGTTCCCTATTTGTGAATCAAGGCCCTCGGGCGAAGGTCTTTGGCTGGTCCAAACCAGGATGGCCCACAGCACCACAGTGCAGCTCTGGCTGCAGGTTCTGCAGGGTGTTTAGAGCTGACAAACCTGCCGTTTCACACTGACGACACCTCCATCACCCATCATTGCTGGGAAAACTGCAAGGACCGAACGAGCAGGCCCAAACTCACATGCGGTAAACAGTAAAATGGAGCAGGGAGGCTGGCTGCAAAGTGCCCACTCCAGAGAGCTGCCCCGATGCTGCAGGTTTCCACCCTTGCGGTTTTCCCCGCCCCTTCTCCCACCTTCCCCCAAAGCGCTCCTGCTCCCGCGCAGGCCTCGGGAACGCGCGATCCGGACGCAGCAGCAGCTGGAGGGGCAGCGCGTTCCCGGCTCCCGCAGCCCTGCCGGGCCCCGCACGCTCCACCAGTTGCTTTGGGCAGAAGGTTGTTCTCCCCGGGGCGTTTGCAGCCAATGTGCCGTGCACTGATGGCTGCTTCCCCTTTTGTCGGGCTGCGGGCCTGGATTGGCTGGCGGCTGTGGGAAACGCGGGCTCTCCCGAGACTCACAGATCCGCTGAAACGCCCTGACCTATAAGTAGAGGCTGTCAGCGAGTGCCAGAGCATGGGCCGACACCGAGCGCAGCGGCCCAGCGTGGAGCCCTGTGCCCGGGACGGAGAGCTCCAAGAATGGCCCCCGGCAGCGCTCCCGTGGTCTGCATGGAGGAGAAGCTGCTGCCAAGAGAGAAGAATAAAGTAAGTAGAGCCCCTGCCAGCAAAGGCGAGAGGCTCTGTGCAACAAGCCCCTAACACCCCTGATACGAGAGCATCACTTGTCCACGGCTACCAAACAAATCTCACACAGAAAAAGCTGAGAGGAGGGAAAAAGTAGCCTGGGGGAAACAAATACATAGATTTAAAGGAATTGCAGTTGGGTGGGCAGTGTCTCAAAGCTCTCCTGTCGAAGGAAAGCACCTTGGACATCTACGTGTGTTGGGGCCTGTGTCAGCAAGGCAGATGCCGGCCCTGACGAGCTGCTGTGTCTCTTTTGCAGCTCAGGAAGCCGGTGGTGGAAAAAATGCGCCGCGACCGGATTAACAGCAGCATCGAGCAGCTCAAGCTGCTCCTGGAGAAGGAGTTCCAGCGGCACCAGCCCAACTCCAAGCTGGAGAAGGCCGACATCCTGGAAGTGACCGTCAGCTACCTGAGGCAGCAGAGCCGGCTGCAGGACCCAAGTGAGTGCAGGGCACGAGTGCCCCGCGCGGAGCCCGTTCCCGCGGGGCTTTGCTCTCCCGCACGGCCCTGCCCGTGGCAGTGCAGGGTTCAACGCACTGAGCGAGGCTTTGCAGGGCCGGGCTCTGGAAAGAAACCTCACACAAGTGCTCACAGCCCCATCATTTGGTCAGGACCTTAACCCCTCGGGTTTGCCTCTCTCTCTCCCGTCTAGCATTCACTCACAAGAACGCGGAGCAGGACTTCAACAGCGGCTACCTCAGGTGCCTCAGGGAAGCTCTGCGTTTTCTGTCCTACCACGAGCCGAGGAAGGAAACGCAGGCCCAGCTGATCAAGCATCTCTGCAAAGCACAGATGGGTCCGGCCGCCCCACGCTCCTGCGCTCCGCGGAGCCTGTCCCGGCCACCCTGTGTCCATGCCAGGAAGCAGCCGGCCTGGAAACAGGCGGCTGCTCCTGCGGCCATCTGGAGACCCTGGTCCTGCTGAGGGAGCTGCTCCGCTCCTGCGTGTGGAAAATCCTGCGGTGATCAAGGTGCTGCAAGGCTGGTTCCTAGAGGGACCCCTGGCACGAGAGTTCCTCTTCAACGTAGGAAACAGAGCGTTCCAAAGGGGGGAGTGGGGACGGGATTGTCTCTCTGTCATGAGAACAAGGGTCACTAACTAATTTCCCTTCATAGTGAAGGATTTCATTTGTATCTTGCAGCAAAGCTGCTGCTCTTATGGATGGCTCCTAGCCAAAGAGAGGACCAAGTCCTGTGGGGATTTAGAAAGCAAATGTCCTTCGGTTTCCATCAAACCTTTGCTCAAGGCTCTTGAGCCCTGTCAATGGAAATCCTGCAGCACCGCCCTGGGTCACTGGTTCGAGTGCTCTTTTGTCTCTAGATGATGTATCGACCTTGCTAAAAAGGGGCACTTCGGAGGATGTATTTTGTATCATAAAGAAAGTATTGAGTCTTTACCTTTTAAATGAAAGATGATATTGGAAATGTGGATTCTTCTAAAGTTCCTGTCCCATTTTTAGTATACTTTCTTACAGAAGGTATTATGATAACGGATTACTGCAGGAAAATCCTAACGTCCAGCACGGGCTGCTCTCAGTCGAGGGATAATTAATGCCTTTTGTAAAGGAAGTATTTTTGGCAGGTCTTAAGGAAAAGGGAGCCGAGGGGAGGCAGTGAGTACTGGACAGTTATTCACTATCTGCTGGAGAGCTTAAAAAGCTTTTGTAAAGCTGTGGTGTGTTCATCCCATGGGATGTTCAGCTTTGATTTCTTCACTGTACGAGTCAATAAAAACGTTTGTAGCCATTTATGCTTTTGTATCATTGTATTATCAATGGAGTTGATTAAAATGAATAATACTCTTGGATTAGGTGTTGCACATGGACTCCAGCTGCAGGGAACCTATCGGGAGATGCCATTGCCTAAGACTTCATCCCAGTGAATTGCTTCAGATTTGTGAATTCCATTTGGAAGAATGGAATTTTAGATCCTGCAAAATAGTAACCCTTGGAAAAGCCACCAAAATTTAAAAAAGGGTCAAATTAAATGAAATACTGAGTGCTGTGACCCTAGATATTTAACAGCAACCCATTCAGATGTCAGCAAATCACCAGTCTCACAAATTAATTGGGTAAATTAACAGGGGAAATAAACTAGCTGGTTTATTGGCACCTGACTCTTCCTGGGGATCTCGCCCTCTTCTTTGAAGCCAATGGGTGAGCTGGTTCTCATAGACTTTCAGTTTTAGCTGCTTCTGTTACCTAAACACAGGTTCTGTCAGGAAATAGTAAGGGTTTGTTTGTTTTTGTTTTTTAAGTGAAGCTTGTCCACATATGGTTAAAAACACACAGAACTCAAGAGTAAACAGCAACCGAAGCAGCATTTGATCTCCCAAACCGTTGCTCAACTCCACTATTTCTCTCTCAACTCTTTCATTTTCCTGGAAGTTCCCCCTCGCAGCCGGAGCGCGGGGCCTTTGCCGTGCGCCAGGCGTTGCTCCGAGCCTCATCCGCCCGCTGTCCTCGGTCTCCCTCCCCCTGCTTTG